CACTTACTTTTTATTTCCTGCAAGAGAATATGTTGTATTGCTCTTAATCTTTCTTTAAATGTCTGATAGAATTCCCTTGTGAAACAATCTTGATCTGGAGATTTCTTTTTAAAAAGAATTTTCTTTGGCTTCAAATTCATTTTCTTTAATGGATACAGTGCTACTCAAATGATCCATTTTATATCAGGTTAGTTGAGCTAATAGCTGTCGTTAGAAAGTGCCTTAATCTGGATGATCAGAAAAAGAGCAATGTGGTTTTCCACAGTAGTGAGGACTAGAAGTCCGAAATGAAGGCAACAGCAGGGTCATGCTCCCTATGAAACCTGTTGATAAGGAGGCTCCTGGTACCCTGCTTTCTTGGTTTATGGCAGCACAATTCTAATCTCTGCCTCCATTATCCTTGCCCATTTGCCTTGAATCTCTGGCCATCACCTTTGCTCGATCTATGCTCACATACAAATGTACTCTTTCTACATGGACACCAGTCATACTCAGTTAAGGCTCACTTGAATATTTCATCTTACTAAGGTTAAATTTGCAAAGATCTTGTATTTTAAAAATCATATTTTGAGGTACTCCATTAGGATTTCAGCATATATTTTTTGAAGGAGAGTTAGGCAGTATTCGATCCATAAACTAGTAGCTTGTACCTTAAAGAAATTATTCTAATTCCATGAGTAATTTTTGTATGCAAGTGTGTTCGGTGTATTCCCTTATTCCCTTATTAGCATTTTAATGATTTATAGGAACCTATGGGGATATTTCTGATTTCACGACTTGTATAGGCCGTGTGTAACTTCTCTTTTTTTAATAGTCTTGATAAAAGTCTGGCAATTTTATAGATCTTTTCAAAGATGCAACTCTTTGTTTCATCTTTTGGTGGTTACCATTTCTCTATTTAAATTTCATTGATATCTGTTCCTTAGTATTGCTATCCATTTTGATTTGAGTTTGTTTTGCTTTTACCCTGTGGCATGTGCTTGAGATGACAGATTAGTTTGTTGATTTGAGTATTTTCTCCTTGCCCACTGTACACATTTAGTACAAATGTGCTGCATAACTGATCCAAGAAATCTTAAGATGTTGTATTTTCATCTTTTTTGAATTTAGTGTATTCTAAAAAAAATTCCTGATACTTTTCCTTTGATATGTATATTATTCAGAATTATTTAATTTAGTTTTCAAGTATTTGAATATTTTCCTCTTATCTTTCTGTTTTTGATTTCTTTTCTGCTCCGTTAGGGTTGCTAGGTACACTGTGTATGATTTTAACCATTTTAAATTTATCAAGTTTTTCTTTTTGCCTTCAGAAAACAGTCTATTTTGCTATCTGTTCCATCGACACTTGAAAATATGTGTGCATTCTAATGCATATATTAACTAAGGACTGTACCCAGTGTCTTGCACTAACTTACATCCTCAGTCTTTTTTTGTCATCATTTGTGTATTTAGGGACTATCCTAAGTCTCCAGTTTTAGATCTTCCTGCTTCAGTTTTTAGAGTAGCTCACATTATATATGAATGTGCCCTAGAGTTCAGCTGTACCTGCTATTTTTAGGTGTAGTGTTCTATAAATATCCAGTGGGCCCCACTAGTTGATGGTGGTGTTGAGTCCTTCGATAGTCTCAATGTTTTTCTGTCTAGCTCTTTTATCAATGTTGGGAAGTCTCCAGCCATGATTGTGGATTTATCCATTTCTCCTTTCCATTGCATCCATTTGGTACCTCACATACTCGGCATGTCTCCTGTTTGATGTGTATGCATTTAGAGTTACTCTCTCTCTCTCTCTCTCTCTCTCTCTCTCTCTCACACACACACACACACACACACACACACACAATTTTCTTTGCTATGGCATCTACAGTGTCCAATGTCAATATCACCCACTTGTGCATGCTTTTGGATAATGATTACCTATTATATCTTTCTCCACACTTTTACTTTCAATTTTTCCATATGGTTAGCAAAGTTTCTTATACATAGCATATAATTGAAAAGTTTCTTGTAGGTAGCTTATAACTGGATCATGTTTTTAATTTATACATCTTTTCTGTTTTTGTTATATTTAGCTCAAAACTCATGGGGTCTTATCTTTCTGTTTTGTTTTTGTTTCCTTTGTCTTGCCTCACTACAATTTACTTACAAATTATCTTTAATTTTAGCTTGATTTATCTTTCTGGTTTGGAACATACCTATTTGTAAAGTATTTTAAAGTTATTTCTCTGCATATTGCCTACAAAGAAACATAGCCTATATTCTATTGTTATCTACTCAGTACTTTGAACAAAATATATAAAGCTTTCTTCTTTTACATCTCCAGCTCCCTTTTCTAGTATAATTGTCTGAAATGTTAACTTATATTTAGAAATATGTCAAAATTTTTGAATCATATAGTTTCACAAACTCAAGAAGAGGAAGAATTTCTGTCGTTTTTATCTTATTGTTGCTTACCATATTCTTCTTTCCTGATATTACAAGATCCTTCTTTCTGGTTTTGCTTCTGCCTAGACAACCTCCCTTGGTCATTCTTTTAGGAAAGGCTTTCTAGAATGCTACATCATTTTCACATTATTTCTGTAGAATGTTTTCATTGGATATCAGGTTCTCTGATGATAGTTCTTTTCCTTAGCACTTGAAAAATGCCCTGTCACTGATGACTTCTGATAGAAAATCTGTTATTTGGACAGTTTTACCTCTATAAGTAAGGTGTTCTTTCTCCACCACTAGTAAAACAATCGGTCTTTTACTTTGGTTACTGTGTTTTTCACTTCTAAAATCTCCATTAGGCTTTCCCTAACTATAAGTAGGAATATACAATACACTTATTTATAGGAAGTTTTTTTATTTCTTTTTTCTTTTGTTTGCTGATTTTCTGTCTGTTTCAAGCATATTTTTCTTGTGCAGTGAACTACAGTCCTCTCATAGCATCCATGGCAGATTGGTGTCAGAGCCCCAGCAGATACCAAAACCCAAGTATGGCCAAGTCCCTCACATAAAATGACACAGTATTTGCATAGACCCTACAAGCTTCCATTCATATATTTTAATGTATGTAAATACTGTGTAAATTGTCATTACATTGCTTAGGGAATGTTAAGAGAAAACATATGAACATTTCAGTACAGACAGAATTTGTTTTTCCAAATATTCTCTGACGTTGGCTGTATCCAGGGCTGTGGAAGCTATGGATAGGAGGGACCAACTAAAGTTTTATCATGACTGCTTCAAAACTTTGACAGATCATTTTAATGTCTCTGTCATCTCAGTTTTAGCATCTGGCGATTGTTTTGTGTTATTTTGCACTCACTTTGAAATCTCCTTGGTTCGCAGCATGCTGACTCATTTTCTATTAAAACCTGCCCATGTGGGGCATTGTGAATCATATTTACACACCAGTTCTAGCTGGCTTTTCTTGACTCTGCTCCTGTAGAGCTGCCCTTTGTTCCAGGTGAACTGGAGGTCTAGAATTCCACTTTGGCTTCTGTGGGCATCTGACAGAAGGAGTCATTACTGTTGAACTGCGGCCCCTCTGACACTACCCCAGTGTAGACTGGGAGAGGAGCCCATTAGAGCTCTGAGGGTGTAGTTTGCCCCCAAGACCCCACTGGCACAAAGGCAGAAAGGGAGGATTGCTACTGACTGACAGGGTGTGAAAAGTCCTGGCTCTCTACTCTATATGTGTGAATGAGGAGTCACCATTAGTATTGTATGGTTATAGAGACTGAAGCCGTACAAAAGCCAGGACAAGGGCAGACAAGAGGGGAGACTGCTGCTGCCTCCTACAGGGATCAAAGTCCTAGTCTCTGCTGAGCCTCCTTTGACCCCACCTGGCCCAGGGAGTTAGAGCTCTAGGTGGTGAAAGGCAGCTTCCCACCCGGCCCTTGGTGGTTGTTTGAGAGTAGGTCTGAGTTTTCTGTTGCAGTGTTCAACAGACTGAAGCAGTTCTTGTCTCTACATTTTCTGTCTTGCTCAGCTGCCTTTCCTCGTCATTTTCCTGGCTCTTCTTCTGCCTCTGCGTTTTGACATTTCTGGCTTGCCAGCATCTGCACCCAAGACTCGGGTATGGGAGGCACAACAGAGAACCAGCAATCCCTGCCTTGGCATTCCTTGAGTCTCAAAGTCTGCGCTCCTCTGCATGCTGCTGTCCCATTTTGTGTTCTGCTTAGTTTATAATCTCCAGGATTTGAGTTGGACTTAGGAAAAGCAGTAGGAAAAAGTACACTTATTTTATCTTCGCATTCCGGGAAGTGCCAGAGTTTTCCTTTGTAGTTTTTGTTTTAATTTGTTTTGTTAAGGTCAGGGTGAACTATGCCCTCCTCTTAACAGTCACTCGGTACTGTTCATATCTTTCTTCTTTAAACACTGAGCATTCTTGTCCAGGGAGAGGCTGAGGGTTCAAGCCAGCTCCTCAGGCAGCGCCTGAGTGAGGGAGGCGCAGAGGAAGGGCCACTGTGCTGGCTTTGCAGATCGCTAAGTCCGCACAGGTTCTAACAGGTGAGAGACGGTGGAGTCACAGCAACACGAGTTAGGTGAAAGAATGTGAGGAGGGTACATTTTTCAAACCACCAACCAACATGGTAGAAGAGAGACAAAAATTAAAGCCAAGGAGCCTGAGAGCCAAAGAGATGGGGCGCGGCCAGCGGGGAGAGCTGGAATTGCAGGGAGTGAGAGCGCGTGCGGGACAGCGGTGAACAACTTCGGGGCTGAGACCTGCGAGACTCCTGAGAAGGGGCGGGGAGCGGACGGGGCCGCGGGGCGGGGAGAGACGTTCAGTGCGAGCCGTCGGCTTCTGGGCGCTAGGAGCAGCCTGGGGTAGCTGAGCCGGGGACGCCCAGGACAGAGGCTGGAGCCGGGCCGAAGGGCTGCAGCTCGGAGAGGCGCTCTTGCTGGGTCGGAGGGAGCGGGCGAGAGGAGCACCCCGGGCTCGCAGCGGGGCGCCTCCCGCCTGGGCAGCGAAGCTCCGCGCCAGGCTCCCGCCCGCGCGCCTCTGTCCCCGCGCGTCGCTCCGCGCTCGGGGAACGCGGCCCCCGCCCCGCGGAGCACCAGCCTCGCCTGCGCTCTCCGCCTTTCTCCACGCGCGACCGACCATGGATGGCAACGCGCGGCTCTCGGTGCCGAGGTAAGACTCGCCTCCTCCCGCAAACTCCCTTCTGCGCTCCGGGGCGCGCACAAACTTGCCCCGGGGCTCCGGGTTTTGTGCAGGGCTCCCAGGGAGGAGACGGGGGCCGCTGCACTGCGAAGTCTGACCCAGGCCGTGGGAGCCGCTCCCGGGCGATCCCGGGCGCTGTCAGCTGTCCCTCTGGGCGCGAAGCTGGGTGGGGCTGCGCGTCTGAGCCGCACCGGGTAGGTGACAGCCGGGTGTCCGCCTTTAGAGCCCCGGAAGGCTGAGGTCGCCTCTGCCCAGAGGGGTCCCCAAGAGTCGGACTTTCCGTGGATGCAGCTTTGGAGAGGTTTCGCGCCTTGCGGGGGAAATGGTTTCCAAGGTAGGCGACCAAGACTGAGGCAAAATATTTGCACTCCCCGGCATGTTGAGCTGGCCCCGTACCTGGCCGGGTATCTGGGGTCGCCGAGTGGTGGACGCTGGGTGGAGCAGAGGTGGTAGAGGTGAGAGGGAGCCGGCCCCAACCCTTGGTAAAACCTAAACTGCACCCAAAAGGAAGACCTCCATCTCTTCCATTCATTCCACCCTGCCCAGCGTTTGCAAGGGTGCAGCTCAGCTTACTGCTTGGACCCTGGGCGTCCCCTTTCCATCCCAGCCCTGGGAAAGCCTAGCGGGGTAGGTTAGCAAGCCAGGTTAAATGCTGGCGTGGGGGAGAAAGTCTTGCTTGCTTTGCATCTCTTGTCTCCTTTTCTCCCTCTGCTCCTGTTCTGCTCGCCTTCAGACATAGTCTGAGAATTGAAGAACCTGAGTTTTCTCTCCCGCCTTCCCCATAAATTTCGGAGATAAATTGGGGCTGCGGTGCTGGTTGGGCAGACAGCTTTGCGCTCTGAGTCCTGGGCGCAGCTCGGAGCGTTCAGATCCAGAGCAGCGCAGGCTACTGTTGCACACGGGTTAAAACTGTTTTGTGGCAGGTCCTGTTGTCACTTCGGACTTCTTTCCTCCAGACGTCTAGGTAGCTTCTCAGCTAGAATATCATGCACAGGAACAAACACTTTAAGCTCAAATCCTTGGAGAGCCTCTAGAGCCAGGGTCTGCAGGCTAGAGCACACGGAGGGCATACTGCGTTGCCAAGTATCCAAGGCGGGGGTGGGAGTAAAGGTGGGGGTGGCGGAGGAGGTAAGAGACTGCTTTTCCAAACGTCGCCGCCTGTCATCTAGAGACCTGACATATTTATATTCTGTGATGAAATAGCCTTTCCCAGCCCCCAACCACCACCCCTCACCAGGCGGGTGGCAAAGCTCCTCAGAGACTCTGCTGGTTTCTATGCATTGCCCGAAGCAGCTCTTTCGTGAAAAATCTCCAAGCCTCCAGGCCAAACACGGTCAAAAGACCATTCCGACCGAATGCAACAGGAAAAGTTAAGAATAGCAACAAGATCTTTCAAAACTTAAAAAGAGCTATTGATTTTTAGGGATGTGTATAAGGTGCTTTGAAAGTCAAGTAAATTAGACATTCCCTTTCTAACCCTATCTATTCTACTGCCTGTTGCCAGCGGTCATTAAGGTACAAATGGTGAAGTCAGTGGTTCTGACCTTCCAGGTGAGGCACTTCTGAGAACAGATAGGTCGCTTCAAATCCAGTTTTACACATCAGTGTGACTGAATCATTATCTATTCGTGTTCAAACACTAGGACACTTTCTAAAATATTAGAATCACGTTGTGATAATAGCTTCTTAAATTATTTCCATTATAGTACTATAAAATGACCATATAAAGAACAAACTAAATGCAATGCTATCTGTGTATATTTAAACTTTGCAACGTGACTGCTTATGCACCAAGAGAAAGCACATTTCCACAAGTCAGAGTAATGATTAATTTTATTACTGTTCTTATCCATAGAGATTATCTCCAGAGATAAGTTCATTACATCTTCCATTTCACTGACTACAGAAGAAGCATAGTTCCTTTTCTGTAAGATTTAGTTGAAAGCCATAGGTATTTACTTTTTGCATATGCAAAAAAGTAAACTCTAATTTGAACTGATGTGTATAAATCATGCATTAGTCATACAATTAGTCCACAAAATGTTGAATTTTAAAAGACTGATGATTGGATAGTCCCGACAAGCTTTTATAAGAAGATGGCAAAAATAATGAAATACCAAATTATTATCGGGCAAGACATTGGTTGTCCAGATTTGAAACTTGCCAGTATCTAATAAAACTAAATTGTTAAATATATAACTTTCTCTTTAAAAAATATAAAACTAATTAGACATTCTGCTCAATAATTGAAGAGAGAAAACAAAATGGTTTGGTAATACAGTGAGAATCCTTTTTTCTGTTGGCTTTTTGATTTTCTTAATATTTTCAATTAAACAAAAAGAAGAGAGATTTTAACCCATGTTCTATGAACACTGATTTCAAAATTTAATTTGACTCATGTATTTTATGTTTTAAAATGGGTTTTTAAAAGGTATTGAAGATTCTATGAGTTGTTAGTATGAATTTTTAAATTTTCAAATGTGCAGTTTAAAATTGTAGATTATGTTACAGATTTCTTACAAACACTGGTTATTAAAACTAGACAATGTCTTCAAAAAAAGAAACTGGATTGTGGCAGGATTAAATGTTTCTTTGTTAATTGCGTGGTAGACCCCACATGTTTTCTGACTAGTAGGCCAGTTCAAAGAAAAAGAAATTTAGAGAAGAGTTGTAGGGGATTTGCATGTGTGGTTTTTTTTTAAGGTTTAAAAGTTTTGGTAGAGGTTCTTTAGGTGTCTATTTTAAAAAAGCTTAATTTGCTAAATTCATACAACTAGACATTAGAAAAATAATCCTAGGTCTGTCCTCCAGTGTGTTCCAATGTAGTAGTTTGCCCATACAGCAGGAAAGTTGATTTCACTTGCTTGGGCAACTAATGTGTGTATATCAAGATTTATATTTTGTGAAGTATTACCCTGTATATAAAATAATTTAATCATCACATGCCTGTGAGCTAATTATGACAGATATTATTTCCACTTCCTGTAAAGAAGACTCTCAAGCAAAAAGAAATTAAATAAACCAGATAATTAGATTTTTTAATCCACAGAAAAATATATACCCGAGATAAATCATCACCAAATTCTGCCCATAAATCCAGTGTTCTTCCTCATATTGATTGAAAAACGCACATTTTACTTCAAATGGGAAAAGAGAGATTCTGGTACAGTTTGGACAACCACAGGTATCACCCTTGGAACACTTGGGGGCAGCATAATTGTAAGATCATCTTGTAAAGGTAGCAAATATTGAAATACCTTCCTTGCAAACAGAAATAATTTGTCACTTTGACCATGCCTAAGCTTAAATTTATTTATTTTTCTGATCTTGAATTTAAAACTTAAGAAAAAAATTGTCTTTTACTTCCTACACATTTGCATTTTTATACTGTAAAGTTTTCTTTTTTTATTTTATTTGGTTTACTGGCTGCTATATGAAAGGTAAAGTTTTTATAGTGTACTTTGAGTGGGAAAAAAAATCACCCAAAATGAACTTTTGAAAAAATAAGGTCCATTGATTTAGTTTTCCACTTTATTTTAACCAATTTGGAGTTTAACATAGCAATGTGTCACTAAAATCCTTCAGAATCTCAAGATTGCACCTGTCAGAATATTAATTACAGGGCAAAAAATACTGTATGTAAATAGATCAAACCCAGAACTATGTACTATAGGAAGACCTTTGTCAACAAGTTTTTACTGGATGGTTATCAGTTTACAAATCCATACAAAAGGAGAAGGCACATGCACATCTACATGTCTGTGTCCTATCTGTGGAAAACTCTGAGAGAAGACCGTCTGCTCCTCTGCAGTTGAGGAGCAGAGATGAATATTGGATGCTGCCTGAAGTATAAACTTTAGATGATGCTTAATCCTGGAATGTGCTCTCCTCAAGGCCGGTGCTCCTGCAGCCACATCGCCCAGTCATAAACACCAGGGCTACACCATCCTGTAGAAAGGGATACTGGGAATCAGTAAATCAGATGCCCAAGATACTGGGAGCCTACATGGATGCTGGGTAGCAGACACTTGTTGAAACCACAGGACCTCTGAAAGCAATTTCCAATAGAAACCTTTATAAAAGGTGATGGAGCTCATCATCAACACTGCATTTTAGATAATACAATTTCCACGGGTCCTTTACCTATATCCATGTGGTTTCTATAGTAAAATCTGTGTAGATCTGCTACAAATGATCAACTCGTACTTGAGCTATTATAATATGTCTTGTTTCTCGGGAATCTCCTTTGACTACTACTACATGAATGAAGGTTTTCTCTGTGTGTAAGTTTCATCAGTAAATAACTTAATGGAGGGCAAGAGGAAAAAGTGGTATAGCTGATGTTTGGAGCTTTGCTGGTGGGTGCTTTTTGGAAATTAAAGGCTGTGACTTCCTAAGCAAGTTGCTAGACTGTTCTCCTCCACCTCTCCTTCAGTAAACTGACATACACCCTGGATTTTCTGTTCTTGTGAGTCCCTATGACTTCTAACCTGCTAGGATGCCTTGACCTTGTTAGAACAGTGAGTGTCTCTTGGGCACCATGTGGATGCACTTCTCACCATCTTGAACAAGGCAAGCAAGATCAAGGTGTTTAAGAGAAGAGAACTGATATTCACTTGTGCAAAAAGAATGCTAGGAGTGAAGAATGCATGGGTTTTGATGTTCCCCCGTAGGTAGAGGGCAGCATTATGCTCGCAGAAGCTACGGTCAAAGTTTACTCTTCTGTAAACACAAAAGCACAGAAATTCAGATGCTGATTCTGCTGCATAGTACTTATTGGTTGTCCACTCTGAAGCAAGATGCTTATCCATTCTGACTTATTTTGATTAGGTAAGAAATGCAAATAATAACTGTGGTTCAAGCTCTTGAGAAGAATCTTGTGACGATGATATGAGATAGCCCATATATTCGAAGTATAAAGAGCTATTGAAGTGCGATGGGTATTTCTGCCTATCATACTTAATAGATTC